TTAAAAACAGAGTAAGCAACTCATCACTGCTGTTTCTCAATCTCTGTTGCAGCTGATGTGCACAATAGATGATCTGAAGGAAATGGCTATTCCTCTGGGGCCACGTAAAAAACTTGCCAATTTTGTCAAAGAGAAGTCTGCAAAACAGGCAGGTTTTCAATTGTCTTTAAATTGCATCTGGAAGTGTTTGCACTTATTATTTGTCCAGTTTCATGTGAAGCTGTGAAACCCATTTGTTTCTTGGCAGGCGGCCCGAAAGGCTGTGAAAGAGAAGACTGTAGAGAAAGAGGAACCGAAAGAGACCCAACCTCCCGTTCAGACGGAGCCCACACCAGATCCTGCCATCAGCAAACTGCCAGTGGGAAGAACCATGTCCTCAATCCATGTGGATTACAACTATTTTGAAATAGGCACAGGACAGGTAAGACTTCCCAAATTGGTCTCTGGATCAAGAGGATTGAATGAAGGTATTTGGTCAGAACCTGATTGTGGGTCTGATATGTGAACATGCTCTACAATCTTGGATGTTCGTCTCCAGGTTTCGGTGGTATATCATGCTCTTGTCTTTGAACCGGTGAATTTCTTTGCTCTCGGTTCTCCCATCGGGATGTTTCTGACAGTACGTGGGGTGGAGAAAATCGAAGAGTCCTACCAGCTTCCCACCTGCAAAGGGTTCTTCAATATCTACCATCCAGTGAGTGGTGTCTTAGCTTATCCACTGCTTCACTACAGTGACATCTGATCTTTTGGAAACCAAAATGGTTTAGGACTAAAGTGTCAGTGTAAATGAAGAATAATGAACACCACGATTTTGAACTTTAACATTCTCACCGTTAGCTATACAGGTAATGAATTAATGTTATTGTGCACTCAGCTGGATCCAGTTGCATACAGAATTGAACCCATGATCTTACCAGACATTGAGCTGGAGCCGGTTTTGATCCCTCATCATAAAGGGAGAAAGAGGCTTCATCTCGGTATGTATTAGACATGTTTTTTAAATTATTCTAAATCTTAATTGAATAATAATAATTTATTTGTGTCTTGTGTCCAGAATTAAAAGAGAGTTTATCCAGGATGGGC